GAAGAGGGAGTTCCCCGAAGCAAAGGGGGCTTCGGCAGCTGCTGGGAGTCCCTCAGTCCCTCCTTTTACTTATAGGATTAGCTCCTCTGGTAAGGTCCAATCCCAGGCACGCTGCATATCTCCTTTCCAGTAGTCAGCTGTCAAAAGTTAATCCTCCGCATGCAGTTGTTTGAAGTGCTAGGCCTTCCCAAGAAAACAGAGCGGGGTCTCCTCTAGAGTCCCCTCTGGGGTGCCAAAATTTGTGACTGAAAGTTCGGTTCCTGTCCTCMAAGCCAATTAATGCCAATTTAATAATGAGGACAGAGTTTTGAGAAAAAGCAAAAGGGAGATATCAAAGTTCTTAAGATCCCCAGAAGGTATTTCCCTCTGCAGTGGGTGCACTCAAGCCAACTACGGGAAGAAAACATTGCTTCCCTAATCCCATTTAACAAAGTGGAGTAAAGTTTATCAAAGTTTTTTAAAACACAGCTCAAAGGGGTGTAAAGGGTGAGAACAAAAAAGCTGGCAGTTCTGTTGACTTTTGGTCCCTTTCAGGGAAGCAGGAGAAGCATCCCAGGGACATTTTCAGGCTAAAATTTAGCTAAAGTTACCTCCACACAWCTAAGGCAGATCAGAACTKGGGACACTGCATCTGTCCAAAGTAAAACAATGCCATCACACTTAACAGAGACACAGACAAAAAGACACAGATTCCCTTTTCAGATTGTCGACAAAAACGAAAGTGGGGTGCTGGCCCTAAGCCAACTGGGGCCTTCCCCTCAGACAAACAGATTGGGGGAGTATCCCCCTCAGATTGGGTCTGACAACTTCAGATTGGGGGATTAGTTCCCTGCTGGGTAGCCTCATAGTACTTACACACTGGTTTCCAGAATCATATAACAGACCCTTTAATAAGATGCACTTTCATGGGCCTCAGACCAAAGGTACAGAATCATACTTCCTGGAAGGCCATGTTAAGTTTTTCAGTTGGTTTGGGGCTACTGAGGCTGGGTAAATGGAGAGAGACTAATAGACTTGATAGCTTCCTTCCCTACCAGCCCCTTTGCATGAAAAAAGCAGTAGGTAGATGGGATACTCTGAATGAAAGATGATATTTTGAAATTGTTAATTCATTGATTTCTGAATCAAAGTCAGAGAYTGTAAGGGGGGGAAACAGGTGTGTAGCTCATCTATGTATCTATTATGTTTCTACAGCATCGAACTCTAATGGAAGAGTTAAATCGCAGTAAGAAGGATTTTGAAACAATCATTCAAGCTAAGAACAAAGAATTGGAGCAGACCAAGGTACTGGAAAGAAGATGGAGGTTTAGAATTTGGTTAGTACATGCAACTCAGCATTTTCAACAGTGCAAGGGTTGCTATGGTGAATGAGAGAGATTGTGGCTGCTCCGAGCCTCGGGGGAAATAATCTGTAAAATTATTCAGGCCTGTAGAGGACTCTGCTTGCAAGACAACATCTAATTCTTTCCCTTGTTTAGAAGCTAAGTGCTGGGAATGAGGCACTGCACCCTGCATTCTAGTCCTTTCTGAATGATGGGTGCTCCTTCAGGGTATGGTGAATGCAGACTAAGGAGTATTATAATCAAAATTAAAAAATAGTTCATCTTGATGCATTTATGCAATTCCTTCCCTCAGTGAATCGGTAGAACTCTTAAATCGGGTTATAAACCTAAGTGCCTACCATGGCCAGTAATAAAAGTGAGCAAAGGGGCCTAAGTATAAAAAACATGGTTTAGGGATTGCTGAGGAYTGTGGTACTCGCCTTCCACACAAACTGATGACTCAGCTCTTTGCTCAGTCATTTGTAGCTGTCCAGAAATGCAGATTGGTGTTGTCATATATTTGGTTTTTCCACAGGAGATGGAAATCCAGATGTTTGTATAAAGTACCCCAGTTTTCAAACATTGGCCACAAATATTTTTTGTTTTTATTTATTTTGTATTATTTATTTTTTTTTGTTGTTGTTGGTACTGGTAATTGAACCCAGAGGTGCTTTGCCACTGAACTGTATCCCCAGTCTTTTTTATTTTTTAATTTGAGCCAGGGTCTTGCTAAATTGTGAGAGTTTCACTAAGTTGCTGAGACTGGCCTTGAACTTGCAATCCTCCTACCTCAGCCTCTCAAGTTGCTGGGGTTATAGACATGTCCCATCATGTCTGGCACAGTTTTAAATTTTTTAACTGATGCATAAAACCATAGAAATTGTACATATTTAAGAGGTTCTACATGACGTTTCAATACACATATAAGTTTAGGGTTTTTATACGTGCTTTTTAATACCATGAAGACCAAGCTAAACAAGTCTGCAGGATAGATCCAGTCCACAGGTTACCAGTTTAAAACCTTGAAATGAATGCCTGACTGCATCCCTTCCTACTCCACATACAGACCTGAAGCTGAGTGCAGAAGAAAGAGACTCTTTTTCTTCAGTTGACTTGATATCCGTGCCCTGTATTCAAATCACCTAGTACCTTCTTCCCCAACTTCCAAGAAACCACCATATCTTTTTTTTTCTTTATTGTGGTGCTGGGGATTAAACCCAGGACCTTATGCATGCTAGGCAAACACTCTACCACTGAACTACATCCCCCAATCCCTGTGCTCTTAAGTTTTTAGGGAACTTTATTCTAGTTAGAAATGGGTCCAGAGTCTCTTCACTTCCTTAAGTAACCTGACAGTCTTTGCTTTGATTGGAAGAGAAAATAAAAGATGAAAAAAGAACCAGTTACTCAAATATACTCCAAATGGCTTTTTCTTTCCTCCCCAGGGGCTCTTGTTGCTTTTGYTTGAGGGGATGAGTTAACTGTCTTAAATGTATCAAAAGAGCATGCCTAGAGCTGGGCATGGTGGGGCACACCTGTAATCCAAGTGGCTTGGGAGGTTGAGGCAGGAGGATTGTGAGTTCAAAACCAGCCTCAGCAAAAGTGAGGTGCTAAGCAACTCAGGGAGACCCTGTCTCTAAATAAAATACAAAATAGGGCTGGGATTTTGACTCAGTGGTTGAGTGCCCCTGAGTCCAATCCCTGGTACCCCCTCCCCCCCCAAAAAAAAAGCAAAAGAACCTGCCTAGGATCCTCCCCAAAATGTATGTCCATAGGCACTCTGACTTCTTGGAAAAAGAACAGGGAAATTATCTTTGAGACCTCTACAGGTGTGGGGAGTGGCAAGCATCATAGAGCTTAGAGCCTGAAAGTATTTTAGGAGGCYATCTCTCCTGCCTTCTGCCTTCAGAGAATATAGATATTATCCTTATAATCATGCAGATACTGAAAAAGAAAATAGTGTTTTARTCCACTCAGGCTGCTATAATAAAATACCATAAACTGGATAGCTTGTAAACAACAGAAATGTATTTTTCATGTTCTACAGGCTGAGAAGTCCAAGACCAAAGTTCTTGACCAATCTGCCAGATTCAGTGTGGGGAAGGTCTACTTTCTGGTTAACAGATGATATCTTCCTTGCATGGTAGAAAAGGAGAACACATTTCCTTGAACCTAATCCCATTCATGAGAGCAGAGGCCTCATGACCTAGTTCCCTCCCAAAGATTCTACTTCTTAATACCATCACATAGGGGATAGGTTTCAACATGTGAATTTTGGAGAGATATAGACAATTTAGGAAAAAAATTATTTATATGTGGTGCTGAGAATCAAACCCAGTGCTTCATACATGCTAGGCAAGTGGGGTACCACTGAGCTACAAACCCAGCCCCGAGACATTTAGACCATAGCAAATAGGAGAGGAAAGAAAGGAAGTTAGTTACCGCTTTGTGTTAGAAAGCAATTCTTGAGAAACAGTAACTCATAGGACAGAGTTTTATTCTCATGTGGCTGCACCAGAATGAATTTTAATTTAGACTCCTCCTGAGTCGTACTTTAGTCAACGAACCTTGCCCCATGTCCTGTTATACATTCTTGTCGGTTTTTCCAAATGACAGATGGTATTGTGTATCTTTGCAGGAAGAAAAGGAGAAGGTGCAAGCACAGAAGGAGGAAGTGCTTAGCCACATGAATGACGTGCTAGAGAATGAGCTCCAGTGTATTATTTGTTCAGAATACTTCGTCGAGGTAACGATGAGCTGTGGCTCACCCCTTCCCATCCCTCCAGCCCTGAGGGGAACATGGACTATGCAGCCTCCTTCTGCTAAAGGGAAACATTTTGAAGATTTTTTTTCTCTCAGGAATTTATAATTGTTTGATTTCAAAGTGACATCTAGAGATGGCCACTTATTTGATTTTGTAGTTGTCTTTCCCTTCACTAACCTTTTTTGTATTTATCCTTGAATATTTATTATTATAGTTAACGCTCTTGGCAGAAATAAAGCCTTATCTCTTTGTGGTGAGGGAGGGGAAAACAGGGCCACATTACAATTTTAAACAGGACATAGCTGCTCAATAAAGCTTGCTCGGGCTGGAGCTAGAGCTCAGTGGTAAAGTGCTTGCCTTGCATGTGTGAGGCACTAGGTTTGATCCTCAGCACCACATAAAAATAAAGRTATTGTGTGTTCATCTACAACTAAAAAAAAAGTATTAAAAAAATAATAAAGCTTGCTTTACTCTGAATGAGCACAATGCTAAGAGTAGACTTGTGATGCCAACTTTTTTTTTTTTAGTTGTAGTTGGACACAATACCTTTAATTCCATTCATTTATTTTTATGTGGTGCTGAGGATCGAACCCAGGGCCCCGCGCATGCTAGGCAAGCGCTCTATCGCTGAGCCACAACTCCGGCCCTATAATGCCACCTTTTAAACAAGGTGGTAAATGTCGTTGATATGTGGTCACTTTGGGAATTCAGGGGCTAAAGTGAATACACTTCAGGAATCTGAAGCTCCTTTTGAAAATGAAACCTCACTCTCCAAGGCTATCATTTGTTCTGTCATATTTTGCATCATCTCTTTCTGGTTTCATAAATTTCTGCCATTTGTAACCAGTTCCTGTTAGACTACAAATGTTGTAATCAGGTTGTTAAATGCCACTTCTTTTTAAACTAGTATATAGTGGTACTCACCTGAATCCCAATGACCCAGGAGACTGAAGTGGGAGGTKTGCAGGTTGGAGGCCAGCCTCAGTAATTTAGCAGGACCCTTAGCAATTTAGAAAGACCCTATCTTAAAATAAAAAAGGCTGGGGATATAGCTCAGTGGTAAAGCATCCCTAGCTTCAATTCCCAGTACCAAAATAAATAAATAGGAAACACATATGTACACTGCTTTATTTTCCCAGGCAGTCTTTGCAGAGGTAGGATCTATCAGCTTCCTGAAAATCTCTCCTGAGGAAACCAGTTTCTTTAGTCTGGATCCACTTTGACTTTAGGTCATAATTTTCCCCACACTTTCTAGTTAGATGATTCCCTACTTTGGGGAAACTCAGTGTTGTATTGACAGGGCTTATGGATACCAGTAGAGGAAGAGGAAAGGGAGGTTGGAATGGGTGATGTGTCAGCTAACCTGGAGCATCTTCAGAGTCAGAGGAAAGACAAATAACTTGGATTGGTTTGTATTTACACCATATTGCCTGACTTTTCTGATCATTTCCTCCTTCCTCTTTCTCTTTTTTGCCATGTTTGGGATCGACTCAGGGCCTAGGCACGGTAGGCAGATGTTTTACCACTGAATCATATTTTTAGCCCTACTGGTCAACTTTGGGGTATTTTTTTTTTTTTTTTTTTTTTTTTT